ATTCCTAATCTTTGCTCTAGGCCAGTTCACTGAACTTGGTCTGTCCCAGCACAGACAAACCCGAGGGTGCTTATTCTTTTACCCGTGCTTCAACGTCCCTGTTTTCCTTGACCAGAAAAAAGAATTAAAAAAATTAAGGCATTTATAACCATGATGACACATGACATGAATTGCATCAAGCACCTGCCTCCAGTACTTTTGCTTCCAGTCTCAGAGGAAGACTAGAACTGCTTCCAATGAAGGAGATTAGAACTGCCATCTCCATGACTAACAAGCAATTTAAAAAATTTTCTGGTGTAATGTACTGAAATTGAGTCATAAGGTAATTATTGTTCTTACCTGATACAAACTATACTGTTCAGTATGATCCCATTCTAATACCCTTGGTAACCTTACAACATCCTTTTAACAAGCTATTGATACATTTAATGTATGCCAACTTCCCTTATTATTCTGATACCTCAGTATGGCAACCCAACTTCAAATAACAGTGAAGAAATCCTAAACATTGATTTATGACTTTAAATATTTTTGAAAGTAGATTTCTTCCTTTCAGCTAAACCTGAAGACAGAAAGTACAAGGGAGAGTTACAGAAAAACATGACACTGAGAAGTCCCATTGCAGTCTGAAAGGTATTACTAATTACATATTCAAAACGTAACATTTTAAGGGTGAAGATGAAGGCAACAATCACAAAAGAAATGGCACCAAACAGGAGAGACAAAGAATTTGCTTTGACAAAGCCCCCCAAGGGTGTGTTTGGTTTTGCAATATAAATCCCCAAACCACAACGGTTGTCATTTTTGGACTGTCAGCCTGTGGCAAAGCAGCTGATGCCCTCAAAGAGATACCACAGAAAGAATGGGGAATTGCATCCTAATTCAACTCATGGCAAGAAATGCAGCAAGGCTGTGGATTGGCTACAGGTCAAAATTAGCACCTAGAAACAAGAAATCAACAACTAGTCTTACAAATGCTGAAAGAGCAGAATGAGCAGAGGTAGTACTAACTCTGCCCTCCACAGGTGCAGGCTGACAGGTGTAGGGGACCTAGTGGTTAAAGAGAAAGGGTTAAAAGAAAGCAAGTCTCAAGACATCTTCAGTCTGTAGTTTGTCCCATATTTCCAGCTTTTTCTAAAAATACTTCAAAAAATCCTCACAGGAAGTTGTGAACCAAATGCTAAGAGACAAATCTCTCTTGCTCAAATGTTGTGATGCTAAGTTGGAGCACAAAAATACTTGACCCACAGCACAAAATCTATAAAACACCATAAGCATCTGAATGCAAGCAGTGATCTGGGATCTGCATATGTTCGTCCTCTCTCCCAGCTGCATAATGTGAGAGCAGCATCCAGAACATGTAAGGATGGGATAGGCACAGTGGAACAGAAAAACGAAATAACAATAGCTTGATTTTACTTGTCAAGGGACAGATGAAATCATATTCTCTTATTTAATACTCATATCACAATGTTTCAGAGCTTACTTAGGATACTGCTGTGGTACACGGTGCAGAATACTTCCTCAGTGGTGAGACAGAAAACTTGAAGCTGAGGACATCAGTTTGGAAACAGAGCAGCAATGACAGAATTAAAAATTCAGCTCACTGTCTGTCAATTTGACTGATGCACAAAGCTCTGACGTAGCTTCTGATTTAGAAGCTGTGCCTGCTGTGCCACTCCCAGCAATAAATTGCCTTTTACATACATGGATAAGCAGTCTAATCAAATAAGGATTTAAAGCAGAACACGCTCAAAGGAACTGCTGATTTCTTTTAAAGCCTGTCATTGCTCTCTCCAGGCTTTTATACATATTAAATAGTATATGAAATTTATCAAATAGAAAAGGTGAATACAAATACTAAGGTAACCAAATAATCTGTTCACTTACAGTGTGCAAATAAATCTCTCTTAACAGATTTTTTTTGCCATTCTCTTACTTATGAGGCATAGATCTGCCTGTGAGACACTCAGCACCAAGAACTGTATCAGTTGCTGACAGTGACCTTGTTTATACCACAATTGCATCACTGCCCCTTGGGAAATCGTTTGCATCCAGAATGCCAAATGGTCTCCTACACAAATGACCTGCTTATGCTTTCCAAGCGTTGTGCTGTCAGGATCAGACAGACCTCTTGCTGCAATTCATACACTGATCCTTTACCTCCTCTGTCCCAGCCTGAACAAAAGACAGCCAGCAGTATTCTTCCTTACACATCTGGAATTTGCTGCTACAATACATGCCTGTCACTGTAATGAGGCATTTGCACATTACACATTGGTCAAATGCTTAGTAAAACATATTGTTACTTCATGCAAGTGCTACTTTCTACCCTGCAGAGTGCTGTGGGTCTTCCTACATATCCATATGCTCAAAAAGAAGTCTTCTGTTTAAGCCGACAGCTATCAACTGGTGATGAACATCTGCAGAGAAGGACTAAAACTCTTAAATTTTATGCTAAATTCTGCCACCATCTCTGCTGGAGTTCTAAAAAGAAACATGTTTTAAAAGGCTGCTTTTAGTGTAGAAGTTAGATTTCATATTTTGGATTCCACACCTTAAAATTATTGCTGCAAACCTGCCTTTTGAGATAGGAACTTCAAACATTCAACTGCTGGATTGTGATTCATCTGACCACTAATAATTAATTTAAAAATCTTCAGATTGCTGAAGAAAACATTCTCTGTGCAGCTGCTACACCCTAGCAGTAACTCTGCATTTTATTTCCTATAATTCAAATGTATTGTTCAGTATAAAGACCTCCAAAAATAACAGACAAAAACTACAAGTGTGCATTTTATCTTCAGGCATATATACTTTCCAATGACAGAACACCAACTGTTTCTCACAGATGAACCTTCAGCAGTGGACTGTATAATGAAATAATGTATCTGTAGTGTAGTTTCTAAAAAATAACTAATCCCAACAGCTGTCAACAGCTAATAATAGAGAAACTGTGATAAATAGGGCATAATATTTCCAGCAGTGACAAAATATAGTAAAACCCAGCATCTTTTTAGGTTTAAATAGATCTCCTTTATTTTGCTGCTAATAGAACTACTTGTTCAAGTTAGGGAAAAACTATCTTTTGTCAGAGCTGTGTCTTCTAAAGCTAAGATTATTCATTCCTCAAGGTAAAAACTGTTCCTTAAGAACTCTGCAGTACAACGTGGAACTAGAAACTGAAAATATAATGAACAAAAAACCTGAATTAAAACATTAGCCATCTAACTTACACCCTAAACTAAGAGAAGAACTATTTTCAACTATGCGTCCTTATATGTATTCAGATATTGTGTGTGTTAGATGTTCTTACCTAGGTTATTTTTCAACTTTTCCACTGACTTCAACTTTCTAAGTCAATGATTCTAACAAAAGGTATTTAATGAAACACTTGTCTTTTTAGTGAGAGTTGTAGTATTTATTGGGAATGTTACAAAATGCAATTAGTATTTTACTTCTCCACAGATTCTGCAGCTGTAATATATTTTCTTTCCCATGGGTTTAGAGAAGAGCATAGAGATCTAGAAATTCAATAATTTCAGAGCAGACTTTGAAACTGACTGCTCAGTGATCAAAGCTAGAAGGATACTGTTTCCTTTAACAGATGGGGAATGACCTCAACAAACTTTCATTAAAACCAATATGTAAAACCAAGTATACAGCCAATGTTACCAACAAGAAGAATGTTGAAACTGAAACAGAACAGCTTTTATCTTGTTACTGGAAACTATTTTATCTAGTACAGCCCAGATCTGGTAGTGTTTCTTTAATTTTTGCTGCTCAGTAACTCCCAGTACAAGAACTTACTTTTCTTTGCTCTAAACTTTGCAATACTTTGAAGAGTTTTTACTATATCAAAACCCATAAAAAACCAAACCAAACAAACAAGAAACAGCAACCAAGGTAGAGAAAAAGTACTTGACAATGATGGACTTTATCTTTGAGAGATATCCTAGTTTCTCTCATCTTATTAGGAAATAATATCCTACTAATTTTAGACTCTCTTTTCCCTGAAAAATTACCATTACATTTGAGATACGGAGCCAGATTTTTTAACTTGTTGTAACTTAGAAGTTAATAGACTTTTGCTCCCATGCCACTTCCAAGCCTCTGATATAATTATTCCACTTTGGTATTTAGGAGGGAGAAGAAAATTCAGAAGAATATCCTCACTAACATGCATTACCAAGAATAGAAGAAACTGAAACTTCAAGTAAAAAAGGAAAGAGAATGATAGTACTGCAGAAGGAAAACAAATCGAGCCTCTAGAAGATCTAATAGTATTTGGTACCTCATTTGCTACAGAAGTTATATGCTTTCAAATGATCAATAAGGAGTTCCCCTCTCCCTGCCTCAAACAGCTTTCTACAATTACAGACTGAGACTATTGATTGTGCCTTATAACCGTGGATCTTAGAAACACATGTGAGGGATAATTACTAATTCAGCTCTCTTTTTTGATTTCCTCCCAACCCCTTCCACAACTTCCTGACTCACCCCCAGACCTCTCAAGCTACCTCACAAGGTCATCTCCTTTGTGATCTGTGCTTTTGGCAAATGAATACACCACCACTCCCTTCCTATCCATCCTCTCCATGTGTTATGAATGCATCCTAATCTTTAATGCTATGGCACACCTCCCTCCCTCGTGTTTCAAAGAAATCAATAATTTATTTAGACATCTGAATTTAGCCGTTTGCTATTTGTGAAATGAATACATTAACTGCCACTTGGCAGAGTATTATAATATTGCAAAAAAAGCTGCTCCAAAGGCAATGACTGGCTCTGGCCTTTGAATTCAACCACATATTATTTTTCTTAAAGAAGCACGTTAGCAACACGAAGTCCAGAGCTGTGGCTGTATTACTATGGGCTAAGTGAAGCTGAGAGTATTGATAGCGTATCAATAGGAGAAGTAAGATGCTGTATTTTAGCTTTTGGTGGTGATTCCTCATCACAGAAATATTTCCCTTTTTTTATGTTAACAGTTTACATACCAACTTCATCCTGGATCTCTTCTGCCACAGCAGGCACGTTATAGAGGAAGGAAAGAGACTGGTTCATGCGTTCATATATCACACGTAGATGTGTCATAACCTATGGAAATAAAAATATTTTAAGGATGGGAATATTACAGTTAATTTTGACATCATCACAAATTTTAAAGTTTATAGAGAACAAAATTGTTCTCACTTGTGCTAGGTATAAGATTTCAGTATGGTCTACACACAGAAACTGTCAAATCCGTCGCAAAATTCACCTCTCTCCCTCAGTTGCTACAAAAATAGTGTTCTAGTTGCTCTTCCATAGCAACTACTTGAAATCCCATGGGAATGCAGTAATTTAAAGTAGCAGTTTACATTTGCTGTGAGGCAGTGAATGAACACAAGCAGCTCATGTGGCAGAAATCCACAGCCTCATTTATCCTTGAACAACATTTACATTTGACCATACCCGTAAGTTTCCACATAACATGCAAACCAAGTGAGGCACAATGATTACAGCATCAAAATGTTCCAGCTGTTTGGTGGTTTTTTTTTTCTTCAACCTAATATTGCAAAAGGAAACAGTTCTTGCAAAAAAAAAGCAAGCTTCAAAAGCTTCAATTTTCTTGGTAAAACCATTTGCAAGCATTTTCAGCTGAAAACAAAAATATTTCTACTCAGAAGCATTACTGCATCATCTCATGTGATTACAACTCTACTGCCTCAGGCTGCTATGGGTTGTCATGACATCCCATGACATATGTTTCCCCAGGGTAGTCTCCACAAGTACCACCTCTATTCAGGAGAAAGGCAAATTGAGGTTGCATCTTAAAAGACTTTCTAGTGTGACAGGGCAATTAGGCCTAAAAAGAAAAATGGGCTACAGACAGCAATTTTAATGAAACAACAGTAAGACTTATTCAAATCCAAATACAGCATTTATATTTTGAACAAAATATTTTGTTTTCCATTTTTCACTGAAAAAAATTTTTCATAAACAGATCCTCCAGCCTACATTCCCCCAACCTTCCAACCAATTAAAGAAGCCAAGATAGTATGGAAAGACTCATTCCTATGACAATGTACTTTATGACAATGTACTAAGCAATACAATGCTCTTTGTGTATTTAAATGTCAGTTTCCATTCTTCACCTGTGTCGCTACACAATATGTAGACTGCAAAATTTTTCCTTTTTTAAAAATTAACTAATCCATTGTTTTAGAAACTAAGAAGTCACGATAGATGCAAAAGAATGTGCTTTAATGTTTAAGACAAGGGCAAGAAAACTGTCACTACATAAGACTGTTAGCAATTTCAAGACAGCATGTTCTCAATGTACAATCTGGCTGGAATAGATGTTTGAGAAGTCTAACACGCAAATTGTGCTGCTCAGGGAGGTAGATGGTTTCAAAGTGGCGTTCAGTGATTCTAGTCAGTTCAAAAACTGGCTGGAACAAGTGCTTCACATTGCATCCTGCAGAGGGAACAGCAGCGGATTCTGCAGATTACAGCACACTTGTTTTACAGCTTATCCATTGTGCCTGCAATTTTAATTGCTGTTTCGAAAGCCAGCTCCATCTTGAATCTTTTGGTTTTTTGCTTTCTCACCCTCCATGATTTACGAAGGTAACATAAAAGCTGTTCCAAAGCATACAGGTTGAGGACTGCAGTTAACAATCAGCAGTTAAAATGCCATGAACTACTTTGCCTGTTTTAAAAGAAGGTGCTAAACTCAAGTGCATTGCACTAACCACATTTATAGACACTTCAAGTACCTTTGCAATGACTAGAAAGGTTGGCTGCAGTCACATGGCTACACCACTTCTGGTTCTGCCACTTCAGCTGGGGGAACTAGAACCATGTGTGGTCACTAAACCTATTACTGACATTTTCCTGGAGGTATTATTTACCAAAGCAGTAATAATAAAGGCTCTGAGCCCTCTGTGGAGGGCTCTTCAGGAAATGCCCACAACTGACTCACTGTCTGGATAGGCAGAAAATCTGTTTTTCAGTTCTTCTCAGAAGACAAGTTATACCTACCCTACTCCTACATCACTTTGCCTTAATCTTCTGCTGGAAAGCAGATTAATTTTATTGCATGTAAAGCTGTCCACAGAAAGGAGTCAGGTATTAAAAAAAAATAAATAAATCGGTTGACAGAACCTTCACAATGATTATGAACAAACATGACCCCATTAGCCCTTGGTGGGGATTACCTGAGATCTGATTTGGGCAGCTTTCTTTGGGTCTACCATGCGAACGTGTTCGAAGTGTTTCAGAGTATGCTGTCTGTCTTTCTGCTCAGCACGCACGTACTTCTTCAGCATGTTGAATACGTGACGTGGCTACAGGGAAAAAACAAGAGAGGAAAAAAATGCAGTTTAGAACAACATGTGTTTTAGTTCCTTGCACTGGAGATGTATCTCAAACCAAAAGCACTTTTCCAGCCAGTGCCTGCAGCTGTCTTCTGAAGGCAAGTCTGACTACTGTAAGGAACATCCACTCACTCAACCTATTTGGAAGGATGCACCATTAATATAGTATTTGTAGGTACTAGCTAAGGTCCCTTGGGAGGGCATTCAGATTTCATGTCCAACCATGTGGGCAAGTTTGAGCTGTTGCATTTTCTTGTCTAACTGCTATTATACTATTGGCCCAGCAAGTGCAACAATGGCATTCCAGTTAACGATCAATCAAAATCGATTTCTTCTGGGCTTTGCTTCATTCCCTCCATCAGACTCTACTTCTCCTCTTCCTCAGGTCAGGAAACCCCTGTGCTCCAAGCTCGCAGTTCTGCAACCTTCACCACCACCAGGCAAATGTCTCCTAGGAGATCCCCCAAAACCTGGACTTTGTTGGAAAATTGTTCATATATGCTATGCTGTACTATGCTGAATATTCAACCAGTGTCAACATCAGTCAAGTAGAGTTACACTTTAGCAACAAAAAATATTACAACTGGCAAGTTTTAACAACAGTCAACTCAATGTAAACATTCAAATCAGAAAGTAACCTGACTTAGAGCTGCAGATAAAACCATGAGAAAGCACTACTCCAACTAAGCCAAAGAATAATCACCAGACTTGACTGCAAACCTTAAAAAAGCAGAGAAAACCCAAACTTGAGACACTCCTGTCCTGTCACCACTGCTATGTTACCAGGGAAAAAAAATAAAGGAACCACTGAGCTAAGTACAGAATGTACACATCCAGAACATACAACTGACTGGAAAGCCATAAGGAAAAAGGGCCACCTACTTGGTTCTTCTGAAGATACTCAGGTTGGGTGCCAGATTTTGTAAAAATTTTAGTCTATGTATATATTGCAGATACTTGTCATTACTGAAACTTATTAAATATATGGCTTAAGGCATGTAATTGAATACAAACAAAGGAAAGGTCTACAGCTCCAGAGAACGTGAAAATATAGACAGACTGATGATAGAGCAGTGAAGACTAAAAAATTAATATACCTCTGTACCTTCTACTCTGTGCCAAATAGGAAAGTGTTCTCTCATTCAGCTAAGACATTCATTTTTAACTTAGTGCTTATGGAGGATTCTGGAAATCTGTCCCAGCCCCCTGTAACTCTACTTGTGCTGTTGTCTTTGTGCATCCTACCTGCAGCTGCTGAGCAGTGAAATGCATGAAACTGAGGCAGGTGAGAAGAAAAGGAAAGGCAATCTTTCATGAAGGCTGTGCAGTGAATTAAAGAATGAGTACAAGTGGTGAAAGGCTGGTCTGGGCATTGGCAGGGGTACAGAGAAGAGGGTGGGCAAGTGACAAAATAAGAGTCAAGAGGCTCCGTGCAGTTTCCTGAAGGAGGAAGAAGCATGAGCAAAGCTGAAATTTTAAGAAGACTTAGATTCATGGGCAAATATAGAGCCTAAACTAACATTTACACAGGAGATGAATACTAGGTCAAGGAGCTCAAAGATTTAAGAGTTTTTTCAGCTTAAGAGAAGCAACAGATTAAAAAATGTCTGAGGAAAGAAAGTCAAAGGTTATTTGAAGATTTGTTGGAGAGAGAGAGATGTGGAGCCACTTCCTGTCAGAAGGCTGAACAAAGGCTAGAAGACAAGGAAGTTAACAACAAGAACATTCTGAAGACAGAAAATGTAACTTTTTTCTGATAATTCAGCTTTGCTTGCCCACAAGACACATGAAGAGAGCAAGTGAGGGCAGACTAGAGAGAAAAGGACTAATTTCCATTTCTTCAAGAGACATTTCCATTTAAGCGTCAGGTCTAACAATAGAAGGACATACTTTTTGTGTTCCTTTAGTATTTGTATTCACTGCAGTATGGCAATGAAACTTTCATATGAAGAGTCACAAAGAGACTTGTTAATAGGATAACAATGTTGACAATACCTGTTAAATACCAGTCACTTGGCTGAATTGGCAGCCCACCTCCAGTGCCTTTTCTAACACTGTATTATTTTATATAGTTTCTCTGAGTGGAGGTGTTAAATACATTTGATCCAAACTAGACAAATTCACAGACTACATACATATGTGGTTTACACAGGCTGCCTAGGCTGACAATGACTCATTAAAAAGCTAATTTTCTACCTAAAACTGTAGAGAATATGCCTTGTCTTTTATTTGAAGACAGGTCTGTTTCCAGCTGTACAGGGAACAAATCCAAACAAAGCAGAAAACACTGATGGCTTCTTGGTGGAGAGTTCCATCCCCACTGACTCTGTAATCCATTGCCTTTATTTCAGGTGGCATCAGAATTAATATATAATGTCACCCCCATACATGGATCATATATGAGATCTAAAATTTCCAAAAAACAGTTTCTAGTAAGTAATATATATATGCACACATACAAACACAAATATATATATATATATGCAAGCAGTTCCCTCTCCCTCCTCCCATGAACTCTGCATTGATCCTATTCAGCTCTTTCAGATTTTAAGGGAGTGATGAAACAGTGCTTTTTCAGTGATCTTGGAAAACAGAAACATGAAATCTAGTTTGGATTGCTACAAACTTATCCTCTCCTCATAGTTATTCAAAATACATATTACAGAGAAACAAAACAAAAATAATATTAAAGCACTTCTTTGTACTTAAAGTGCAACTTCCCAGCTCTGTGCCATGAAACTTTCAGCAAAAATTCTCAGCTGGCTTGTCATTTTAATCAAAATTCTCTCTAAATCTGAGAGGAAAGTCTTACAATGCCTTATTGTGCTATTTAATCTTGCCTTTAAAGAAAAACCACTCACCAGTCCTTTCTGATTACTGCTTTTGAAATGTGCAACAATTGCTTCTCTTCATTCACCTACTAGGAATACCTTGTATACAATATTAGGTATATTTTTTACCCGCTATGTTATTAACTTGTAGGTCATGTTTGACACAGGAGTAGGAGTTCATTTTAGGAACATTCAAGAAAGGCTGGCTAGGATGCATGCAAGACTTTCACTCACGGATGAGACACAACTGAACTCCTGTCCAGCTGCTTTTCATGTGGACTTAAAGATGTCTTGTCTTCTCATAATTTCCGCCAATTTGTAATAAAACATATTACCCCACACGACATAAATACATGGTTATGCTACTCAAAATTTCCTTTTGCCTACCCTCCCAAGGACTCTTCCTGGGGCAGAATAAAATTAAAACCGCATTTGATTCAATCTCATTATTTGCCTTTCAGGATTTGAGCTTGATCAACTTTGACAAATTAAGACAAGTTTTGTTTGTGCCCACTCTTTTAAAACCTTGTGTTTTAGACATAATGAATCTGCCAGGATTTTGCAGAACTTAATAGAAATTTGGAACTGCCTCTTCTGTCTTTGGTTTGCTTGTACAGAAAACCTACTGGCGACACAGGTATATGACTATACCATATACCTAAGACCACAGATTGGGGGAAAAAACAAGACAGTCTTGTTTTATTCACATAAAAGCTTCAGAAGGTGCTGGAAAATAGAGTTGAATGACCACATTTCTTGAACTCTGACTAGGTTTAAAAACACAGCGGAAATCCACGTTATTTCACACAATCCTACAAAATTAAATGTACATGAGAAATCCACAGCTGTAAGTTTAGAGGTTTGGAGGAGCAAGAGCTAAAAGGTGGAGTATTAAAGCTGGACTGATCTTTCCTACTGCACAGGAAGATTTTTATCACTAGATCAGCAGCAATGCCTTGGCCAGCCTCCTACTGTTTATTTCCACAGCAATCTTGTTGGACGCAGGAAAGGCTTCTAGCTTCCTAAACACAGAGGATCCACATAAGGGCCCCTCAATAGATCCCTCTTCCATACATAAGCAGCCAGACTTGACTAGTTTCAGCCTGCACTGTGCTCTTCTGTATGAACAGCTATTGCTCCCATAGCACAAAAGAGACCAGAGCGAATTCTGAAAGCAATAAGAAAAAAAAAAAATGGGAAAAAAATCAAGTGGATTAACATATATGCTAGGGTTGATCTTAATGATCCTGCTCTGTTCAGCAATAACTTACATTTCAGTAAAATAGTGCTGAATTAGAAGAAAAACATTTTAAACTGATTTTAATGACTATATGCTTACTTCAATCTATGTGTAAAGTAAGGAAGCTAATTAATTACCTTTCAAAGTTTTCCTGTAAATTTTCTTGCTCTGAAACCCTTTATTTCACCACTAGGAGATGTATGTCTTTTCTGCTTATCTTTTTCTGTTGCCAGTGGCTTCCCACAGAGAATGTGCCTCTCTTACCAACAAAGATTAAACAGGGAGACATAAATCCAGCAAAATTTGACATTCATGTGAAAGAGGGAATATAAGCAAATTACAGAATCCATCTCACAGAGACTGATGGATTTGAATGCCTCTACTTAACTTGCAAAACGAAGGGGAAAATTTCCAACTGTTTTTAAAAACTAGAGGCATATTGCTTCCAGCTGCCACTAATCCTTCTTTTCTCTAGTGAGGCCATCAAGCAGGATGAAACAATACAGTATTTTGACACTGGATACTGAACAGCTGCACCCCATTTTCAGTAGCAACAAAGTATAGCAGCACAGCTAAGCTGTATGAGGAATTAGCGATGAGGATAATATTTTAAGTTTCTGGGCAACCTGCATGACAATGCATCTGAGAAAAGCAATTGTACAAATACTTGGTTTTGCTCATTTTAATTTTTTTTTATTTTTCTAGTAGACCTTGAAGCTATGTAATTTCATCTTTGTTTGCTCCTTGCCTCCCTTTCTGCCCAGAGTGGTACTCTGAAGCACACCTCTGACACTGGCACTGGGCAATCATCTCTGTGCCTGAAAATAACCTGCAGTTAAAGTCTTTTGTCTGATACAGAAGCTATCCATACAGGATTCCCAGACTTTTGTAGTTTTAGGTAGAACTGCACTGACAACAGTTGATTTCCCAGGCATATACAAAAACATAGTGACTGCCCTACTGGCCCAGACCAAAGGTCCCCCTAGTCCTGTATCTGGCTGTCCTACCAAGGAAAGCCTCTTCCAGAGGAGGTTAACAGGGGACAAGTGGCTAATGTCATAATGAGGCCACTCTGCATAATCTTTGAGAAGTGTAAGGTCTTGCACCCGGGAAAACATAATCCAGGAGCAGCACAGATTGGGATCCACCTGGCTGGAGATTAGTTCTATGGAAAGGAACCTGTCCTGGCTTGAGCCAGGATGAAGCCAGTTTTCTTTTTACTGATTTATTTTCCCTTCAGTAAGCTCTCTTTTAACTACCACCAAGTTTTCCAGCTAGTGAACTGATACTGCTGGCATATTTATGTTACTGCTGAGATCCCAAGCTCACTTGGCTCTGCTGCCTCAGATTCTACGGGAGCAGAAGAGTCGTATCTGCAACCCTTCCTCTAGGGAGGAGTGGACTAGACAGACAGCAAGATTGACCAAAGTATTCCATTCCATATATCTACGTAAGCTCGGCATACAGTCTTAGATCATGGAAGTCAAGCACCTTCCTGATTTTTCTTCCTTTCTCTTCCCTCCTTAGCCAGTGCCGAGGGAGGACTCTGTCTATCCATCATCATTGATTCCCAGGCTTATGTATTCCTGACCCTCATAACTCTCCCCTCAGTTTCTGTCTGCTCTGCCTTTCTCTCCAGCAGCTCTGGGACATTTCAGAAGTGTTCACAGCTCAGGAGATGCCCTGGGGGCTGGGGGAGGCAATAGGGTTCAGCACATTCCTGAACATATTTATATATAATTATACATATTTTCTTTTATCATTAGTGTTTGATTTAAACTGTCTAGTTTAGTTTTCAGTCCAGAAAGTCTCTTTCTCTTAATTCTCTCTCTCCTTCCCTACCTGGGTGGGAGGGGATCAAGAGCATGGTTGTCACTGGTTCAACTGCTGATCCTGAGTCAAACCGTGACAGGACTTGGGGGTTTTGGTGGGCAACAAGCTCAGCATCAGTGATCAGTGTGCTACAGCAGCAAAGAAAGCCAACAGGATGCTGGGTTGTATCAACAAGGGCATCACCAGCAGAGATAAAGAAGTCACCATCCCACTCCACTCAGCACTTGTTAGGCCACACCTGGAACACTGTGTTCAGTTCTTGTCTCTGCCATAAAAAAAAAGATGTGGACAGATTGGAGAGGGTCCAGAGAATGGCCACAAAGGTGATCAAAGAATTAGGAAGCCTGCTGTATGAAGAAAGGCTGAGAGCTGGGTTTGTTCAGCCTGGAGAAAAGGCTTAGGGAAAACCTTATTGCTATGTTCCAGTACTTAAAGGATGGCTACCAAGATGATGAGACTCTCTTTTTACAAGGAGTCGCATGGAAAAATGAGGGGTAATGGGTGCAAGTTACTCCTGGGGAAATCTCGACTGGAGACCAAAAGAACTTTTTTCACTATGAGAACAGCTGGACTTTGGAATTACCTCTCCAGGAAAATGGCAGATTCCCCAGCACGAGACACTTTTAAGACTCAGCTTGACAGGGTGGTGGGGCCATCTCATGTAAACTATGTTCCTAAACTATGTTGGACCAGGTGATCCTTCCAGTCCTTTCCAACCTCGCATTCTATGATTGTTAAGAGACTCCTCACACAGCCCTCTGGCTTCCTCTTGTCCATAGCTCAGGAACTTTCCAAGTCAGAGGAAGGTCCCCTGAAGAGCCTACCCCTTGAACAGAAGCACCACATAATCTATATCCATAAAGAAAACAGGAGTTCCTTGGCAAAGGAACTGTTTAAAGACATTATTCTTTAAACTATTCACCATTAGTTTTGAGATGAGTCCCTGATTGGTAGCACCTTCAGCTAATACTACCCGCCATGCTTGCTGCTTTCATAATGATCAGCTTTTGCAGGGACACATAATAGGTGCAATAGGATGCACCTTAGTCTTTTAACAGCCCCTTCAATACTTCTACTGGAGCCATGTATCAAGTAGTGTTCTCTGACACAGTCTTTCAGGCCTGATGCTCTCCCACTGACACAGCAAACTTGTTATTAATTTAAATGTCCTGGGAGCTGACTACAAACAAGCCACACACAAAATGCAGGATTTTCTGGTCCCAAAGTCAGTGTCAACGTTTTTGCTCCTTAGGAATTCTGCAGATGATGTTCACTTTTTTTGTCACAGTGGAGTTGTCATCTGCCTTCCACAAACACGTAAGGACAAGTTCCCTCGAGCTAGGAATGAAGTTCTAGACTTTGGCAGCTCTAGAGGCCATTCTGCTGCTAGGTGTGGTCCCCATCTTTGCCTTCCACAACCTCACACACCTGCACAACCAAGCTGTCAGCCTGATCCGCAAACAACTTGAAATAAAATCATTTTCCTGGAACACTTTTCAGACAGAACTACATTTGCATGAGGATCCCCTTCACAGCAACAGCTGACTGGATAAAGCCAAATGTGAAATAGTATCTTAGGCAGGTGAGCTACGCAGAAACACCCTGCAAGAAAGCAAACATGACCTGCAGCCAGTCTACGCGCTCAACTCATCTCACTCAGTTCTGAGCCACAGACTCCAACTTCCTAAAGGAAGCTAACTCACTGATCTATCTGATAATGAGACACTTGAGTCCAAGCCCTTCGCTACCCTCACAATAGTCACAGGTTACAACACTCATCTCACACTCAGACCAAACAACATTCTCTACCAATTTAATACAGACTAGCTTCATTTTTCAGAAATTGCTGTGTTGCAAAATACAGATTTAACTCTTCATACAACTATGAAGTCTTCCCATGACACTTCGACCAAAATGATTTTTCTTTTACTTGGCACACAGTAAAAACAGGAGATTTTCACAATGAAGTGAGTGGAGAAAAAAATTAAATGATAAGGAACTAAGACAATGATCACTTCTTCATGCTTACTGAATATGTTTGGTTTCTCTGCAGAAGGAAATTCACTCAAACGTGTAATTTTACCAGTTTAGATGTGTTGATGCAATTATCTGTAATGCCAAATTCATGATTTAATGACTACATCTTACACTGCTGACCCAGAAGTCTTTTAGTAACATAATGTCTTCTCCATTTAGGAAGTGTTCAAGAAGCGAAAGGTATAAAAAACATTTGACTGTCTTCCAGTGTTTGTGCAGATTCTCTTCTTCTGGAGGTCCCAGACCAGTTACTTTGGTATTGAATACAGACATCACAGATACAGAATCACTAAGTATTTCATTCCATCCACATTTTTAACTTAGTGTTTACACTCACCAGTAGCTATCACATCCAACACAGACAGTTCTGAATTGACAGTGTGCTACTTTCACACTATTTGACAATTCTATGAAGATCCTTCATCAAACATTTCAACAGCTCAACAAACATAACAGAAAATCACAACCACGTGTGCCCTTACGCTCTATCTTGACATGATGAAGCATCCTACTGTATGTCATTTGGAGGGATGTGTCATTGTTCTTCTGCAGGATGTGTGAACAGCTACAATTTCTGACAACCAAACGACTTCTGCATTATTTGCTTAAGTATCTGTATGTATGTATGAATGTATCAGTATGTTCTGGGATGTGTGCTTGTGCTTACATTTATGTACATGCAAAGTTTAAACTTCTAACTTTACAAGTAGCAGACTACTGCTCCACAGCTGAACTGTATCTAGGCACACCTTCTTTTACTCCGGCTTGACTACAGTAATTTTAACACAGCTGAGAGAGCGTGTGGTACTGCACTCACTCTGGGTGGGACAGTCTGCAGGGCTGTGATATAGTTCTCCAGGGCAATGCGGCGACGGTCATTCAGCATGGCTTCCACCCGTGCCATATGAGTCTCCACCAGCTGTTGTCTTTCATTTGCTGCTTCTTGTTCCAGTGATTCCACTTTCTCCTGGAAATGCTGAAAAAGACATCCATTACAACAGAAAAAGCAAAGACATCAGATGCCTGTCTGTAAATCACCAAAATCTTTCCCCATGTCAGTCTAGCTTGGCTCCCAGGAACTCTGCACTGAATGCAACTTTTACCGATTTCAATGGGAACTGCTGATGATGATATTCCTGAACACCTGGCTATATTTTAGTAACCTAATGAAATATTCCCGACATGCTCAGCACAACCACTAGTGAATCCTTCACCTGCACTGAGTCAGTGGTTCAGCACGCAAGAACCGTGCCTAGAGGAGGGTGGAGTTTGGCAAATATGCCATCTGCCATCAGAAGTCACTAACATGACTTCACAAGCAAATCTGCACAGGGGAAAAATAAAATATTTCAACCTCAAAAAAGTCACTATCATTTCTAAACAACCACAAAGAAAAATTGCGCCCAGACTTATTCCAATAAGGGAAAAGAATGACTGGGTAAAATGCACAGAGTAAGGCTGCGGGATCTAATGTACAATGCAATCTCATTCTGAATGTTATCTTTTTACAGGTTTGCATTGAAATAATCCTAGCAGAACTGAATAATACCTGATATAGTCACAGAGGGATGCAAGGAGTCGAGGCATGTCAGAATTTTTGAATTATAGTAAAATTTTGGATAAAATATTTTTTGGCTGAGAGTTTATTTCAGATAAAACTGATGACAATTTCTTCTTTAAATTACATTTTCCATCTCTGCAGTTTATATTAGTTTACCATGGCCTACATTTTGAAAGGGGCCCATGGGAACTGAGTTTTCAGCTCTCACTGAAGGCAAATCAATTCAAGAGAAATTCTACCCCTCTACACAGGCACAAGTGATGTTCTGCACTGCTGTTCCTGGGAATGGCTGCAAAGTACCAAGACACCCAGCAGCCACTTACAGCTAGAAAGAAAAATAGCAAGAGCAGTGAATAACACTAAATCCCCATAGAAGTAGACTTTAAAATTTCATCACAGCCAGTATCCCCTGTATTTTAACTGTGGACCCAGTGGGTATGGTTGTGGTTGTGTTTTCCTTTACCTGGATAACAGCTTTCTTGTCAGCCTTTGGCAAGTTCTTTGCTTGGCGTTCTGCCTCTTCCCACTCTCTCATGACCTAACAAAAAAAAATAAAAAGGAGCATGACTTTTGTGTTTCCTCTCTTGTCTCAGGCCTTAGCAACAGCCAAGCACTGCAGCTCTGACTGTTATCTTTTTATGTTCCTCTCCTTTTATCGCCATTAAAAAAGCGGTTACAACATTTAACAAAGGTAGGATCCTGTTATGAAATTAAACAAAGAGGGTACTTCTGTGCCTGAACACTGTGCCAAGCTCTCACAACTCTGCAGTGAAGCAACAAAGCCCCTAACCAGCCCTCAAGCAAGGGAGGTGGAGGTTTCTATGAATGAATAAATCAACCTCTTTTTTCATCTTGGACAGAAGGGAAACTATTTCCATGTATTCTATGTCCTTGGTCAACATGAGTCAATTTCAGCTCATTCTAATTGACACATTTTTTATTACACATTTTTTAGATTCATTCAAATTACATTGCTGGCCTTTGAGTAGGAAAAATCAAGAATTACAGGTGAATTGTGCTAGTATGTCCAAAAATAGGTGTCCAACACTTCGAGAACCGAATATATTTATATCTCAAGTACAACACTGAAAGAAAAATGATGAGAACTTTCAGTACCATTCTTTACAGCAATGTGAGAAGCCACCCCTGTCTATAACACAGTAATTATGAGTTAATCTTAACTTGCTGCCCATGACACCTGAAACCTTGTCATGGTCTTACTTAGGGAGTTTACTTATTTCACACCAAAACAGCTATTTCCTCAAATAACAAGCTTCATGCAGGAACAACTGCTCTCACTGAATTCAGTGCACACAAGTGACTTGTTTATTTGCAGAATTAGTACAAGGTCAGAAGCCAGAAGAAACTTTGAAGCAATTACTCAAAATATGCATTTCCTTTCCTTCCTTTCTCACTTCAAACTTTCATACTATTTAATAGAAACAGTCGAATATGCCCTTTCTAAAGGGGAACTTTGAAAAGCTCAGAGTCCACATGCATGGCTGAAATTTGACCAAGACCAATACCAAAGGCAGGACAAATTAGACCCCCTGAATCTCACATCTGAAAGTTGAGACTCCACCACTCAGCTCGTGTCTCAGGCTCCCCAGTTCTCCCACATGCTGGACATTTGTAATCAGGCTTCTTGATGGACAGACTGGAGAGCACTCGGTGGTGCCTCAGGGTATCTGGTTGAGCCTGTGCCTTTCAACAGAGAAACAAACCTGCACTCAAAGGAGACTTTTACAAGTCCCAGTCCTTGAAATGTAGGCCCTTCTCAGTCCTATACAGGACTGTAGACCCTAACAATTAACCAGCATTCAGACACCTGCACTCAACATATGGGAGTCTGTTGTCAAGTTTTGATACTCCTTTTGATTGGCAATGTATTTAAAGACAGCAATATATCAGTCATAGTAAATATAGATCAATTCACTATCAGTGAACTTATTTATCTGTAAGAGATTGTAGCTTTAGTAACAGCCCAAGAGAGTAGAGACATATTTTTGGAGGCTAACCTGATGCTGAAAACTTTTAAGTGCAAAAGTGTTTTGTCTGCTTCTGAGCTTCAGCAGGGGCATGGTTAGAGAGCAGTTGTAACCACAAACACCTGAAGTCAAGTACTTAGAAATCACAGTCTTGACTTCACTCTGCTCTTTCACTGGGAACTAGATGCTGAAACTTAAATCCCAAGAGTTGTACTACAGCCTACATAAACTGGCAGCCTGAAAATACCTGTTTGATTTACATTATTTTCTCATCAAATACACATTGATGTGCAAATTGCAACCACATTCTGGGGAGGTAGGAAACCAAAATTTACAAGAAGTCATGAAAATTCATTTGCAAGGGGTTGTAGTATGTTGCTGATGACAAAGAACATGATGTGCAGCACACTAAAGTTACAGGTTGCCCCACTACCAGTTACTTTCCCAGAGGGACTTAGAGCCTCATGACATCTGTAAAAAACTCACGAATTCTCAGAGCTCTACTCTGTATTAAGTGCATGTTAGGTATTAATCACTTAATTGTATGGTTAGGTTGAATGATTGTAGTGGCTAAGACAACTTAGTTCATATATATAGGTAGCACCTTTCTAGACACCTGAAATGTCACCAATGCCAGGATTTGAATGTTACAGAAGACCCCAAAATGATGGCATTGATTCAAGTCATAAACTACAATGATGTGCTCAAGCTTGAGTGTCGGCCTGGGTTAGCAGCTTCACAATTTTCTTCTCCTTCCTTTGCTTTTGTCTTCAAATCACAGATCTGACATCTGCTTAATACTTTTCCACTCTGAATGAGTTGTTCATGGGTTTTCAGAACAACAGCTCCCTTGTGATCTTTATCCCCCAAACTAACTAACCCTTTGCTAATCCACATGATGAAAACGAGCATTGTGGTTAATGTGATAAGGAGGCCTTTGGCTAGACCAGGTCTCTCTCCCTGTTTTATTTCTCTGAACCTTTTAAGGCATGGAAGGCAGGATGATAAAATGACAGCCTCCACAGCTACTTGGGAGGGATATAAATTACAGGCTTCAGAGTTCAGCTCTAGTGGAACAAGAGTGAATGACTTGTGAAAAAAAACAGAATGACATGGCTCTACTGTGAGGGTGGTGAGACACTGGAATAGGTTGTCCTGGGAATTTGTGACTGTCCCCTCTCTGGAAGTGGTCAAGGTGAAGTTGGACGAGGTTTGGAACAACCTGGCCTAGTGGGAGATGTCCCTGCCCAGGTCACGGGAGTTGGAACCAGATGATCTTTCAGGTCCCTTCCAACTCAAACCATTCTATGATTCTGTGATGCCACCAGCACTAATAAGCAGCTGAAGACCTCTCCAGGATGTTGGAGCCAGTGGCACTCAATGGTAAAAAAAAATAATAATCTTGAATATAACGCTAGCCCTGTTTAGGCTGTTTGAGGACTACAGTATTTTCAGATGCTTTCTTTGGAAATGAACTTCCAAGAAGCAAGATTATTTCAGGAGACAACATATCATTAAATTCCTATCGTAAGTACTGTACACACTGTGATTCCTAAAATATTGTAAACAGCTAGAGAAAGAGTAAATTTAAGACATGAGGATGTCACAAGACATTTGAGGACAGAAACATATACACTGCTCCCTTGAGTAAGGTTCAGTATCTAGTTCCACCAAGCTATTTAGCAGGAACTATTTAAGTGAGGGAGCTGCACAGGAGTTAACAAACTGGAAAGAAAAAGAGGAAAAGGGGAATGTTACCAAAAAAAGGAAAAAATAATCACAGCATGCTGCAATTAGTGGAATAATCTCTCCCTCTTATGTGTCAGAGAACAGCAAACATTCGAAGGTTACACAGGCACCACTGAATGGCTATCCTGTTTGTATGGGAATATAGCTTTGGTGCCACTTGGAGCTGCATTAATTATTCTTGGGAAACATTTAAAATTATATGCTAATGTAATTCTCTTTTCCATGACTGCCTAGGAAAGTTTATAAGGCTTGTGCTCCAGGTGTCACGCAGATGTAAAAGTAGAAAAAATTTTCACAGTTTGTAGTCTAAAGGAATGGACACATAAGAGCAGAAGATTAAAACAGTCTGAATCAGAGGTGCATTAGGGCATCATACAAAAAGAGCACAGACTCCCCTAGGAAGAGAGTGTTTTGGGAGCTATGAACTGACTCAACCACCAATAGAAGCTGGGTCTCTGGCAATGTGAGCATCTTTATGCAAGATAAACATAAACACAAGTTGTCAGAATTCCATTGTAAACAAAGGGAAATCTCAAAGAGGTCATACAGTACACCTGCATTTGCCCTTACGGCATATTTTGATTAGATTACTTAATTTAAAATTAATTTTTTTAATGATGAACTTCCCTACCCCTTAGGTGATTATGTTTTATGTGTCAAATTAAATGCATTACTTTATTAGTTAATTGGCTGCTGCAAAGTGTGCATCCAATCAAGTACTGGTTTACAGCTATCTGCTTTATTAAAGAAATATCCGTATTTAGTGAACAAGCTGATTTATTTCAGATAACCGTATTTATCAAGATTAAAGAATGATTTAATCATGTTCCAAAATCACTGATAATTTCCTCTCTTTTTAATAGAGGAAAGATGGGAATTTCTGTTCCTATATAAGCCCCCATTTCTTAGCTTTGAAAGAACTGGAGTTCCTGTTTGAGTAAATAAAAGTGAATAAATATGTTTGGTGCTGCTGGACTGTCACTCACTCACTTTTTTTTTTTTTTAAGAGAAAAACAATGATAACAAGAGCTTACTAAGTTAATTTATTTTACCATTGTTTCCAACATTTGATTTATTTTTTTAGTTAAATACATATGAAAACGATTCCCAATTTTCAAAAAAATGTAGAAAGCAACTTCAAAATAATCTGTGAGAAAAGTAGACCAGCAATATGGGACACAGGCATAATCACAATTCATGTGAGGAAACGCAGAATGGTAAACTAGCTGGCTTTTCAACCTTTCCTGAAGATTTTTGTAATGGATAAACTTTTGAGAAGTTAGCTCAGAGACGAAGGCTCAATGCTGTACAAGATATTACTCAGAGAGAGGAAAAGAATTTTTAAAAACTTAAGTTAACTCTCTTCTTTAAAGCTCTGCAGGGGTTCTCTGTACTTCAAGACATGCGTACTTTAAGCTGAGATTTCATAAGCAGCTTTAAGCAATTTAAAGATGAAAGATCTTTCCTTCTTGATGTACTGTCGTGCTGCTGTTTCCCAGTTCTGATTTAGCTTGCTGAGCTGCTCAGAGTTGGTTATTTCACTGGTTTTTTTTGGAAGAGTGACCTAGCAGTGAGATGAGGGAGCTGACCTGCCTCACCCTGCAGCTGTATGCTCATTAGTGCTGACAGAAAGGATGGCTGGGAATGTGCTAACAAGGGCCGCCAACACACACCACCAGCATGATCTTCTGTCAAACCCTTGAACTACAGCCTTAATTTATGAGTTGCCCCAAATGTGCATGGTAAAATGTGCAGTGCGTGTACCCAGAAGTTTCCTGATGCTGTGGTTCAGTGCTTTTCC